GCCGAGATAAGGAGACAGCACAGGTCTGGAAGGAGGCTGAGACAACTGCCACAGACAGCATACTGAAGACCCTAAAGAACTCTGCTGCTGTCGTGGCGACACAATGCCGGTACATGGCTTCCAGACTCTCTCTGGACTTCAGATCAGCACAACTTTTTAAAACGGGGGTGGGAAAGACAGCGGTAGAGCCTCCAGTTTCTTATATTGCTGAGTAAGGACATTTACAGGGGGAAAAAAAAAAGGAATCCTCATTACATTAAAAAAAAAGTTGGAATCTGAAGGTCTCAATAAAAACAACTGAATAACTGAGCTGTTAGAGAAACCCCCATTGTCTCAGTTTTCCTCATTTCTTTGTAAACCAGCATAGGCAACAGCCTGCATTCAAGACAGTGAACCACAAAATACATTGCCAGCAAAATAAAGAACAAGCTGACACCAGTTGTCCACCAATGATATCTAAACTGAGTAATGCACTAAGAACATAGATTACATCTGGAGGTATTTAGCGGGAAGAAAAATGTCAGTACCAATATTTTTCTAAAAATGACTGTCTAATCTAGAAATCCTAAAATAAGCACCTATAAAATTATTAGAATTACAGAGTTCACACAAGTGGCCTGATACAAACTAAATACACCACATCAGCAGAGTATCAACAGAAATATATGTCTCTGTAATCCCCCTTTAAAAATCAAATTAGGGTAGTTAGCTCTAATAGCCCAAGGCAAATACCACATCTAATTCTCTTTTCCTGAGGAAAGAAATTACATGTTTTAACTGAAAGTGGTCCTACGGATTTCTCTTCTGTGTGCTTGAAAACTGTAAGTTGTTCTTTCCAGAAGAAAAAGACTGTCCGTGTCTGCTCACCAACAAATAGTGGCCAAATCCCACTTCATTCTAAAAAGAGAAGCCAGGGAAGTGGGTGATGGGACTGGAGTGGAAGCCCAGAGGATCACAGGAGTGCCTGCAGAGAGAGCACCTCACCCAGAGAAAGAAGGCCCAGGACTGGGGTTGTGTTCCTCGGGGAGCCAATTCCTCTCTCTTAGCCAATCAACCGGGAGTCTGATGTGACCAGATGCCCCCATTATCCTGGGGGCCTGATACTGCAACTTATATGCCGGAGGTTGGCATACAACTGATCTGAATTCTCCTATTTCAAAGTAGACTTTGCATTCTACTACCTTCTCCTTGATATACTGTTGTTGTAAGTTTAGAAATTAACGGCTTAATTAATGGTTAATTATAATCGTCTCCCTGGGAACGGGAGCCAGGCTTAAGCCTTGGCTTGCTATCCCTCACCCCCACCTCTGGCCCTCCCGGGGGACCCCGAGGGCACAGAAGTGGAGGTGCTGCAACTGTGCCCACAGTGCACATGCTCCAGAAGCATTCTTTGAGCCGACAGGTTGTTCTGACGTTGAACCACACTGATAAAAGGGGGAGGCAGTGTGAAAACCAGGGCCCCCGGGCAGGCTGCTGGGTACAGGATGGCGAACACAGCAGGCGGGCAGCAGTCAAAAAAGGCGCCTTTTCTACTGAACAGCCTTTAGGACTCTGTGGGAGAGGGTGAGGGCGGGATGATACGGGAGAATGGCATTGAAACATGTAAATTATCACATGTGAAACGAATCACCAGTCCAGGTTCAAAGTATGATACAGGGCGCTCAGGGCTGGTGCACTGGGATGACCCAGAGGGATGGGATTGGGGGGGGGGGTTCAGGATGGGGACACACGTACACCCAAGGCGGATTCAAGGCAAAGTATGGCAAAACGAATACAGTGTTAAAAAGTAAAATTAAAAAAAAAAAAAGCGCCTTTTACAAGTGCCCTGCTGGGTCCTCCGGCCCATAGCAGCAAGTGCTGAAGAGCCATCCCAGTAAAGCCCACAAGGGGGCGCCTTTCTCTGCGCACCGAGGCCTAGCGGTCAGCTTGATCTCCTGTCTGCCTGTATCTGTTTCAAACTCAGGGCTACACAGATGATTCCCCATTCTCATATACCAGGTGGTAACAGCCTTTCCCCAAGACTTACTTTTGGACTTTTTGTCCATTTGGCTCAGCGGTAGATCCCTAGCAAAGAGTGGGACCTCAATGCATCATTATTTCATAATCGAATGCATTCCAGTGAGGTGGACAATCATAAACAGATGACCGCATCTTAAGACTGAGCCCCAAAGAACCACCAGAAGGACGGAGTCACCTCTGCTGCCATGTGACCACACCCCAACTGTTCCTGGAACCGGAGTCTCCACCTCTGGTGGTACAAGCTTCTGAAAAGCTAATCCAGCGGGCGCCGGCCATGGGGACTGCAAGGAGAGCCCAGATACAGCTCAGAGTCCTCCCATATTTATTTCTGCTCCCGTGATATGCACCTCTCCTTTGCCAACCGGGTACAACATGTTTATTTAAAAGGTAATGTTGCCGTGGAGGAGTGCACCAGGCAATAAACAGCTTTCGCAGGCAATTAAACGCAGAAGTGAAATTGAGCTGCTGGTCAGTGGAACCAGCCATTCATCGTGAGTTTGTTCCAGTGTCACAAATGTTATTCCTGTTTCACAACAGGACAGGAACCCGTGATTGGGCTACAAATCTCCAGAGGCTGGAGGCAGACCCGAAGATATTAAAGCAGCTCTCGGCATGAGTGCAGGGCATCATCAGGGAAGAGTCCTGGGACACTGGCCCTGGAGAATGCTCTAGCTTTTTTTAAAATAGGCTTTTCACTGAGTAGGTGTTCAATAATTACTTGTGACTTGCATGACTTTACAGGGAGACTTATAGGAAGTCTCAGCTCTACAATGAAAAGTCAATGATTTCTATTCGTAAACAATTCAGGACCCTCCCCACTAATTTCTAAGTCTGGCTTTAGAAAATTATGACAATCTCCACTAGAATCGATCTTTTCTAGGAACCAGAAAGGAGCTCTTTGTTCTGAAGACATTTCACACTGTTCCCCACAAACACACTGATACACAAAGCAGCAAGGGAAGATGACATCAAAGCTACTGCTCCGGTGCAGAGTGAGGAGGGAAGTCAGATCTTAGCAAGAGTCAAGACAGTAGATGGTTGAGATGTTGCTTAAGCTTCAGGCCCTTCAGGTGGAGCCAGGGTCAGACCAAGGGGGAAGGTCCAGTGAGCGAGACCGGCTCAGTGCCCTGCAGACGCAGCTGCGGGACACCTTCCACAAGCGAGACAGGAAAGCATGGCTACAGAGACGAGAGGATCACTGCACCCTCTCTCCTCCGGGGAAGCTTCCATCAGGAACGGGCAAGGCACAGTCCACAGAGCAGAGCCAGGGAGCCCTCCTGACGCAGAACAGCCAGGTGGGCAGAGGCTCTGCCCCAGATCACCATTCCCCATGCCCCTGCCATAGTGACTTGGTGAACAAGTGAGCTGTTTATTTCCTTAAACACTGGTTGTAAGTATTACTGCTAGGTGTTTCTATTTAATTGCTGCTTATAATACATGTGGGACTTCGCTGGTGGCTCAGCAGTGAAGAACTGGCCTACGTGCAGGAGACCACCTGCAATGCAGGAGATGCAGGTTTGATCCCTGAGTCGAGAAGATGCCTGGAGAAGGAAGTGGCAACCCACTCCAGTATTTTTGCCTGGAGAATCCCAGGGACAGAGGAGCCTGGAGGGCTACAGCCCATGGTGTCATAAAGAGTCAGACACAACTTAACGACTACACAACAAACAAATCTGTTTAGCAACTAAACAAATGAGATACTTCCTTCTCCTTTCTTAGAACAGCATCCCTAACAGAAATCAACCTAAAAAGTGTCCCAAATCATAAAACCCAACTGGCACTTTGAAAGACCTGCAGGACTCGAGCCTGCGGATTATAAATCACTGAATTTCCTTTACACTCACATCAGCTGTAAATTCCAGCACCTTTTTAAAAAGTATGATGCTAAAAGTAACTCATGAAAAACTTACAAAAATGAGTAGCCCAGAGATTAAAGCTGACGCATGACTATTACAAGGAAGTCAGATCCATAAAGCCAGTGGGAGAGCCCAAAAAAGAGGTGAAGTGAGTATCAACAAACTTCTCCACACCAACAAATGCAAAATGGAACAGAACTGCTCAGAAGAAAATGTCAATGCACATTTTTTAGAAGTGGGCATAAAAAGGTCAAAGACTTACCCTAAACTCCCCAAATACATATACCTCAGTGTGTTGGAATCAACGTGGAAAGCCCACACACAGTAAACGCGCCCAAAATGAGAACAACTCTTGCACAATTGGTATTCTACAGGTGGAGGGGATTTGGAGGCGCTGATTCTAAGTGCTTATGCACGCACATTCTCACAACATGCTAATCCAGCCTGGGAATGCTATGCTTTCCAGGCCTTGAATATGCCGCGGACAAACCAGCATGAGAGAAGTGGTGAAAAGAGAAGCAGAATAGCGCTGAATAAATGTCCCCTGGTAATGCAAAATGCTTTGTTTTACCCCAAATACTGAAAGCTCTTGATTGCACACTATTTCAGAAACACATACTCAGTGTATGAAAGACTGACCTCCATTCCCAGATACAAATGCTCTCCAGGTGGCCCAGCACAGCAGTGACCTAGTTCTTCTCTCACCTTTCTTCCGTGCAAACACACAGATCACTCTGCATCTCCCTTCCAGGGCGCAAACGCCACCTCGGTTACACCACCCGGAAGGCTGAGTCCAGCATTCTCTAAGCTGCTCTCCACAGTGCGGGCGAGGCTGGAGGAGCTGAGGCCTCACACACAAGCCACTTCCGAAAGTGATTCTGGCCCCTGGCGTTTACACGAAGTGACACTCAAGTATGAGAAAGTAAAATTTCAAAATGCAAACAAATGTACGCACATTTTTTTTTTTACAATTCCTTTCAGTCAGTGTCTGCGGTTAAATGGTGTAATGCGTAGAGTGAAAACTTTCTACACGTTTTGCATGATGGCACACATGTGTGCTGGTCTGGGCGTATGTGCGTGTGTGTGGTTTCAAATATCCAGTTCCCTCTCTGGGTAACAACCTACCTGCCACTGGTTTCCGGCCTGGCCAGGCATGTAAGGCGCTGGGAGGCTCCGGAGGCTGTTCTTCACAGGGGAGCCCCCAAGGGGACTTCCCATGTCCCCAGCAGAGGAGTCAGCAGCCAAGGCCATGGAGTACTGCGGGTAGTTGTAGAGATTGTTGTAGTACGGAAACAGAGACGGCTGGTAGAAGCTGCTGTAGTAGGTGGGGTCGGACACCAGCTCAGGGGTGTTCTCCATGTGCCCTCTGCTGGTGACAGCAGGAATATCCTGGATGACCATCCGTCCCTCTAGAAAGAAAGAACACGACGACATGCTATCAGTTTCAGGACCACAAAATTCCACCTGTACACCTTGCCAACATACGGCCTCCGTCCTCAAGATCCACAGAGCTTCAGAGCAAGGCTCCGGAATGTGCTGCGTGCCCTGTGGCCAGAAAACAGGAGAGTTTCGAAGGCTGGAGTAACGAGGGCAGCACAGCCGACAGACACTGGTGGTTATTTTTACTGAGAATGCCAAAAATATTTTAGGCAGGGGTCATTTTAATTACGTAAAGCCTGACCACGTTTAACATCTACAGAGAAATCTCCTACCCTAATGTCAAGAAATCAGAGATCAAATCTAGCTAAGTTGGCTATCTGCAAGTCTTAGAACAAAATTAATTGTATGTAACTTTAAATAAAGTAATAATAAAATCTAGATGCCTTTTCTATGTGTCTGTCCACACCAGTATGTCTGAAGGCAAAGCAAGAGGCTAAGAGTTTAAGCAAACATTGGTTTCTTTCATCTCCTTCCAACTGATCATTCTTTATCTTTCCTGAGTCTGGATAATGGTAGAGACCTGGGAGACAAACTTCTGTAAAAGGTCAGTTAGTGTCTATTTTAGACTTTGTGGCCATTCTGTGGTGGAACATACAGGCTGCTGGGTGCTTGCATTGCAATAAAACTTTATTCACAAATACAAGCAACAGGCCCAAGTGACCCACAGGTTGAAGTTTGCAGCATAGGGTCTAGATGTTAAACCATCAATTCCAATCAACAACTGAATGGACTCCTAAGTCATCTTTCCAACTGTTTTTTATTAAACAATGTTCTACGAGTTGGCCAGGTGCCTGAGATGGCTACAGGGTATTAGGATGCCCCTGCCCACGTGGAATCTACAGTTTAGGATAAATGATGGGATTACAAACTATAACAAGGACCCTCATGCAGAAATACCTATGAACATTTATGCAATCTCAAAGGCTAGAAAGATGACACACAGCCTAGAAAGGAATTATAGAGACTGCCATTAAAGAAAAACAAAAACTGCACCTGAGTTTCACTTTAAAAGAGGAGCAGGGGACTTCCCTGGTGGCCCAGTGGCTAAGATTCCACACTCGCAGTGCAGGGGACATGGGTTTGATCCCTGGTCAGGGAACTAGATCCCACATGCCACAACTAAGAGTTTGCATGCCATAGCTAAAGATTTCACATGCCGCAAATAAAAGATTCCATGTGCCATAACTATTATCTGGCTGCTACTGCTGCTACTAAGTCGCTTCAGACGTGTCCCACTCTGTGTGACCCCAAAGACGGCAGCCCACTATGCCAAAAATATTTTAGGCAGGGGTCATTTTAATTACGTAAAGCCTGACCACGTTTAACTTCTACAGAGAAATCTCCTACCCTAATGTCAAGAAATCAGAGATCAAATCTAGCTAAGTTGGCTATCTGCAAGTCTTAGAACAAAATTAATTGTATGTAACTTTAAATAAAGTAATAATAAAATCTAGATGCCTTTTCTATGTGTCTGTCCACACCAGTATGTCTGAAGGCAAAGCAAGAGGCTAAGAGTTTAAGCAAACATTGGTTTCTTTCATCTCCTTCCAACTGATCATTCTTTATCTTTCCTGAGTCTGGATAATGGTAGAGACCTGGGAGACAAACTTCTGTAAAAGGTCAGTTAGTGTCTATTTTAGACTTTGTGGCCATTCTGTGGTGGAACATACAGGCTGCTGGGTGCTTGCATTGCAATAAAACTTTATTCACAAATACAAGCAACAGGCCCAAGTGACCCACAGGTTGAAGTTTGCAGCATAGGGTCTAGATGTTAAACCATCAATTCCAATCAACAACTGAATGGACTCCTAAGTCATCTTTCCAACTGTTTTTTATTAAACAATGTTCTACGAGTTGGCCAGGTGCCTGAGATGGCTACAGGGTATTAGGATGCCCCTGCCCACGTGGAATCTACAGTTTAGGATAAATGATGGGATTACAAACTATAACAAGGACCCTCATGCAGAAATACCTATGAACATTTATGCAATCTCAAAGGCTAGAAAGATGACACACAGCCTAGAAAGGAATTATAGAGACTGCCATTAAAGAAAAACAAAAACTGCACCTGAGTTTCACTTTAAAAGAGGAGCAGGGGACTTCCCTGGTGGCCCAGTGGCTAAGATTCCACACTCGCAGTGCAGGGGACATGGGTTTGATCCCTGGTCAGGGAACTAGATCCCACATGCCACAACTAAGAGTTTGCATGCCATAGCTAAAGATTTCACATGCCGCAAATAAAAGATTCCATGTGCCATAACTATTATCTGGCTGCTACTGCTGCTACTAAGTCGCTTCAGACGTGTCCCACTCTGTGTGACCCCAAAGACGGCAGCCCACTGGGTTCTGCCATCCCTGGGATTCTCCAGGCAAGAACACTGGAGTGGGTTGCCATTTCCTTCTCCAATGCATGAAAGTGAAAAGAGAAAGTGAAGTCGCTCAGTTGTGTCCGACTCTTAGCGACCCCATGGACTGCAACCTACCAGGCTCCTCCGTCCATGGGATTTTCCAGGCAAGAGTACTGGAGTGGGGTGTCACTGCCTTCTCATCTGGCACATCCAAATAAATAAATAGAGGAGCAGAAAATAGGTGAAAATGAGAGAAAGAGGCTTTCCTGGTGACTCAGTGATAAAGAATTACCTGCCAATGCAGGAGACATGGGTTTGATCCCTGGGTAGGGAAGATCCCCTGGAGGAGGAACTGGCAACCTGATTCAGTATTCTTGCCTGGGAAATCCCATGGACAGAGGAGCCTGGCGGGCTACAGTCCATGGTGTCTCTGAGTTAGACAACTGAGCATGAGCAGAAGAAAAAGAGACAACCGAAGACAGGGCAGCGAGGACGCAGGGACAGAAGCAGGGAACGTGGGGGACTCTGCGGTGATGGACCGGCCCTTGGGGTGAAGAATTGGGTGAGAAAAGAGCAATAGAGGGCTAGGGTGACAGGCGGGCTGTAGACAGGCGACGGGGAGCATGAGGCGGCTCGTTTAGCTCTCGCCAGGGTGCGGTGGAAACCACTGAGGGCTTCTGAGCAAAGGAGCACACAGCTGCACTGTGGGGTGATTCAGCTGGGGAGCAGTTCTCAAGACAAGTGAGGGAAGGCAGGTCAGAGGCAGGAGAGCCAGCGGGGAGCCGCTGAAGTAGTCTGGGAGAGACACAGCCGTCTGCAAGTAACAGCGGGGGAAGGCTGTGCCAGGGACACGGGGCGGGGCACGCAACAGAACTCAGGACCCAGGGGCATCAGGAACTGAGACGCAGGAGAAGAGGAAGAGCAGGAGACCTAGGCGGCGGCGGGGACCAAAGGTAAGTTCTGCTTCATCACGGAGCCTGCGGGGCACACACGTGGGGAGATGAGTGAGGCTGAGAAACTTGGCACTTGGCACTCATGGGAGGTTGAGATTCAGGAGTCACCGCCCTGAGATGCGGACTGCATCTTTGGAGAGCAGGAGGAAGGTGTAGGGAAGAGTATGTTACGAAAGGTGAAAAGAGCACCAAGGCCAGAAGCCCGAAGACAGAGGAGAGAATGTAATGTCACAGATGACAAAGTAGACAGGGACCAAGGAGTGTGGGGTGATTCAGCTGGGGAGCAGTTCTCAAGACAAGTGAGGGAAGGCAGGTCAGAGGCAGGAGAGCCAGCGGGGAGCCGCTGAAGTAGTCTGGGAGAGACACAGCCGTCTGCAAGTAACAGCGGGGGAAGGCTGTGCCAGGGACACGGGGCGGGGCACGCAACAGAACTCAGGACCCAGGGGCATCAGGAACTGAGACGCAGGAGAAGAGGAAGAGCAGGAGACCTAGGCGGCGGCGGGGACCAAAGGTAAGTTCTGCTTCATCACGGAGCCTGCGGGGCACACACGTGGGGAGATGAGTGAGGCTGAGAAACTTGGCACTTGGCACTCATGGGAGGTTGAGATTCAGGAGTCACCGCCCTGAGATGCGGACTGCATCTTTGGAGAGCAGGAGGAAGGTGTAGGGAAGAGTACGTTACGAAAGGTGAAAAGAGCACCAAGGCCAGAAGCCCGAAGACAGAGGAGAGAATGTAATGTCACAGATGACAAAGTAGACAGGGACCAAGGAGGGCAGGCCACAGTGTCCACCGCTGCTAAGAGATCAAGCAAAATTAGTTCTGGAAAAGGTCCACAGATGGCTGGGCCTTTAGGGCCTTGTGGTTTTTGCACAGTGAGAGAAGGTGCCTGCGAAAGATAAAGAGCAAGTAGGCTCTGTGAATATGGTGACAAGCCTTCGCTCTGGTGAGAAAGGATACCCAGCGAGCGGCACCCCCCGGCCCTCCCTGCGCATCCTCGTACTGAGCACACTGCCAGATACATGGGGGTAAGAATCTGCAGCAAGGATCAATGAACAGGTTTTTTTTTCCAAGTGGCCTAGCATCAAAATAAATATGAGAAAAGACCAGAAGCTCCAAGGAGTAATAAGATGTTATTTCATTTTTAAAACACAGAGAAGGGTTGAGCTCATGCCGGCAGGGGGAAGCTCATGTAGAGAAATTCCCAAGACTAGTAATACATGGTCCAGAGCAGGTGCTCAGAAAGGGCCGTCCGGCTGAATGTGGGGAAGGCATGACTAAACGTGCACTCTCTGGAAGGTTCGGGAGAGAGCTACAACAAAATGTATTTTTACAGCCTCATTTTACAGTTAGCACTGAAGTCTCCTCTTTGCTAGGACACCAAACTTGTCCACTGCAGGCTCCTGGCGATGCTTCGTCAGGGTTACCATCTTACAACATCTCTTGCCTTCCTCCCTCCTCATCCTCCCCACTAAGGAGATGAGAAGCTCCAATCCCATTATTCTACTCCCGTCTGGAGAAGGCACATGCCCTTCCCTCCTCCTGAACTTCCCCCGGCCCTCTCTCTTAAACACAGTTTAGTGGCAAATCTGTGGTTTTCAGTATCTAGTTCTTTTGTTTTCAATGTCATGTCTTTACTGTTAAACTTTATTGTTAAAATCAATACAAGT